TAGCCACTTGAACAAAGTGGTGATTATTGAAGGGATACAGAGATACAGAAGTGGCTGCATACCTCAGAGTTTATGGAATATGTTAGATTTGGCCGAAAAATATATGCTCCAGATGCCTTGAACAAATCAGCAGGTTAATCAACAGAGTTGTTTTCAGATAATAAACCATTAACATAAAGAAGCAAAACAGTAATTATTAAGAGAAAAAGGATCGAACTTTTAGATTAGACATTTAGAGGGAAAAAAAATTACCTGGAGATCAAAACTTCCATCATTACCAGAATAATAGGTATAATATTGCTCCAGGGACTCTTTAACCTTTAATTGTGCACCAATACAAATTAGAAAATTCTGTATTTTTCATACATTTACGATTAACGAAACAAAGTAATTCAGTGATAATTAAAAAGATGAAGAAAGGAATAGTTCAATGAAGTAGAATTAAGCTCCAGCCTAAATAACCTACCATAGTTCTGCTGTTAACATATTGAATGAGTTTTCTTTCCTTTGCAGAAAACAGAAGCTTCAAGTTTCCAGGTCCTACTTCAATTATATCGTTTCCACATATTTCTGCCTTGTAAGCTACACGGCTCTTCAAATTAGCAGCTGCTGCAATCTCGGAATGAAACAAAAAGAAAATTTAACTCTATATATAGCTAAACGAAACGAAAGCATCAAATCCTCTTCCGAGCAATTCACTATATGGAGCCCATATACTCAACCTGCCCTTTTGGCATTTGAGATAACATAGGTGTTGAAACCAAGAGGTGGTGTAGATGCTGAAAATGCAAGCCAATATTTTGGGGTCACGCTTGGAGGTTTCCCCAAATATGCAGTGGCATAAAAGTCCCTTAAGCTCACAGAGGCGTTAAGTATAGGGACAAGCTGAGATTCGATTTCTTTATCTTCAGAGTCCTTTACAATGACATGTTCATCGATAACCTGCAGCAGATTGATAAAGTTATTAATGTACAGAGTTTCATTTTTAGATAAAAAAAATATAGATGACAAAAAAAGTTACTTACAGGAACTCTTATAACATCCTCTCTTGGCCATCCCAGAGAATTGTAGACGAGAACCACCTATAGTTGATAACAATAACAATCAGAAAGACAAT